TCTTTGTAATACATCTTAATTTTTGTTGATCAATAATTAAGTAATTACGAATTTTTTTGATGAAATGGTAACAGTATACTAGAATATTTATTTATTTTGAAATTAAAAGAATTTTTTTAAATATAATAATATATATTAATAAATATAAAAAACTAATAAAGATACAAAATATAATTAAAAGATATATTATCTAAAAATGATTATCTAAATTATTTTTGAAAAAATAATATTTTGACAAATAATTTAATTTTTATATTGCTTATATTAATGAATACTTAAAAATTATTTAAAAATACTTGTTTTAATTTGTAAACTCAAATAATTTCAGAAAAAAATTTCAATTACTAATAAATTAATCAAAATAATTTTGAATTTAATTTTAGCAAGTTAATTATTTAATTAAATAATATGATTTTAAAGATCATTCTTAATATTATTATCAAAAATTATAAATAACAAACTATAACTACTCTTCATATTTATAAATATTTATAAATATTTCTAATAATATTCTAGTTATATTATTATGTTAATAATTACTTTATTATAAAAATTAGAATAATGTAATTAATTAATTAATATGTAATTAGTTTATTTTTTATTTTATTATTTAATTTAGTTTTATTTTAGTTTAATTTTAGTTTATTTTTATTTTTTATTTTTACTTATATTTTATAGAATAAAATTCTTAATAATAAGAATTTAGTTATATTTTATAACTAAATTATATTATAAGTTTAATTAGATAATAATTTAGTTAAATTTATTGAACAATAGTTAAAATAATATTATTAAACAAGATTTGAGTTATTTATTAATAATTGATTAAATAAGTAAGTAATTCAAGTAATGATAATAATCTGAGTAACAACAATAATTACAGTGATGATAATAAATAAAACAAATAAAATATTAGAGATTATTAGTATTAAATTTAATAATATTATATAAATATAACATATATTTTAGCTCTAAAAAAGTTAAGTTTTCATATCTTTATTTTTTTTGAATAAAATTTTTTAAAAATTACCTTTTGTTTAGATAACTTGTAAAGTATTTCAAGTTATATTTATATTGATTTAGAAAAAGTTATTTGAAAAATGTATTACCTTGTATTATAACTTATTGAGTTATATTAAATCTATTGAAATTATAAAGTTATTCTAGATCATTACAATATGAATACATATTATCTATCTTTAGTTATAATTTTTAGTCTTTTTCACTACCAAAACTTAATTTCTTTCATCTTTTAGTTAATAGAAACATATAAATAACACATAAATAACTTGAAATCCATAAAAATAACAATATAAAAATCATCAAAAAAAAGAAAATTACTATTTTGTAATAAATAAGTCTAGTTACAAATAACAATCTCTTTTAAAAAAATAATTACTCATTTTTGACTAGTATTTATTTAAAAACTCATTATTTTCATATAATTAATAATTAATAAGACTAAATTAATTATTAGTCACATTTTTTTCTGGTTCATTAAAATTCTGTTCGTTTTTGGAATCAAGTCACGTGATTGACGTCTTTAAATGTCATGCACTGTAGTCAAAGCCTTTACAACGGCCGCATTGGCTTGGCACTTTTGGGCCGGTATACAGTGCTTATATTATAAACTTCAGTATATAGGGAGTTTTAAATAGTTAAAAATCGGGACATCAATACGGTATAAGCCGAATCCGATGTATATAGCGCCGTTGTAAAGGACTTGTTACAATTATAAATCCATTTCAATCAATAAGCCATTGTCCAGTTAGTGATGTCAAGTAAGTATATTTCAAAATAAGTATACTAACCAATTTTAATTCTACATTAGAATGCTGTTTTCCAGGTCTGTTTAATCATAAGTCCACTCGTGTCTGCGGTTCTAGTGTGCAAGTGTTGTTTCAGTTCAACTTTGAGTTTCAATTGTTAGGTCGGTCAGAGTTGTTTCATCAGCTGTAGTAGTTATTTCTTCAACTTTAGAATGATCCGAGACCACTACTTTCTGTGTTATTGCTATCACCTGAGCTACTTTGAGAGTTTCCTGTTTGTTTTCTTTTTGATCGGTATTTGGGATTTGTTGCCGTGGTAGTGGTGGCTGTGGTTAAGGGATTCGGGAGTGCGGGATTAGTAGTACGTATTGGAGTATTGGGTGGGGGAGTATCAATTGAATGGTCAGAGCTGTCAGAGTTTGAGCGTCGAAAGTCAAAAGGCATTAATACTTGATTAATTGGAATCCATATGTCCAAACGTTACACTACAGATGGATCTTTTAGATAAACTAATTAATTAATTTATTAAATATCAAACAAAATATTTCTTTGAGCATTGCTCAAAGTATTTTGTAGGGCATTAGGACTTTTTCTCTTGCCCAACTGAATCATTTTCATTGTTTGCTTCATAATTTTCCACATTCATGTCGTTTAATCCAAGAGCTTCATTTTGCTCCCACGTACGATCATAATATTCCATCTGCATGTTTGGGTCAGAATCTAAAGTAGTTATTATTTAGAAATTGTCAATCGGTTATAATAATAAATATAAGATATGATAATATCAAATATACCTGGCGCATATAAATTCTGCAAATAAGAATTCGCCAAAGGATCATCTAAAATCAAATGCACCGGCAACAACTCCCCTGAAATAACCTTATTCAACTTTTGAATAAACATAGCAAAAGTTTTATGGCGCTCCTCCTGAACCGAATCTCCACTCCCAAACGGCACACGTCCTTGTAATTCGTCAGAGACTTGTCTTAGCAAGCCTTCAACAGTCGTGAATCGACCACCCAGCGTGCCTGTTGTTAGTTCCAAGTCAATCTCTGGAATGGCGAGACTGCATGTCTCGGATTTTAGAATGTCACGCGACATGTCTTCAATATCCTCCATTTTTAGCTTTATCCGTTTTCCCTGCAGGGATATTGGACCGCCTGCTTTTACTTCGTTAGATTTGTAACCACATGCCTTTTTTTGTATTGGATGAAGAGAGTTAGTAATTAATTTATTAATAATAATAGGGTTTTATTGTTCTATACGAATAGTAGGTTTCCTTCTTACATCACAAACCGTCGACATTATTACTACTTCTTTGAAGTGTGGGATATCTATCATGTGCATTCTCGTGTCACTAGGAGTATTGCAGTTTGAGCAATTTGCTGGAAATATCATTATTTCTGGTATTTCATTGTCGTCATCTAACTCTTCTTTTTTATTAGTTTGTAGATCATTTATTGTTTTATTTTGAGGATGTTCCTTTTTTGTTGTGTCCTCTTCATCATTAGTGCAAGAATCTACATTTAGTCCCAGTGCAATATTCATTTCACGTGTCCGATTATAATATCGAACTTTTAATTTTGGATCAGGATTAGGAGCGCAAAGATTCTCAATATAGCTACAACATAGCATATAATTCAACATAAAATTAACCAAATGCCTTTCCCTAATTCCCTCCACTCCAAAAACAAGAACTTCCAAAAGATAGACACAAACCTATTACCAGCAGGATCATTAACAGAAACAGTACACTTTTCTCGATTTTCATGAAACGTTTTCAGTCTCTCCAATATCGCTTCAATCTTTTTATAAGTTTCTTCATCGGTATACCTCCTTACCGGCTGCCCACTCGACAAATCATCAATGATAGCCGAGATTAGACCCTCGACGGTTGTCAATGATCCGCGTTGAGTGGTTGAAGAGGGAAGTTCAAGATCAATTTCGTGGATTTTTACGGAGGCGCTTTCGGATCTGACTAGTTGTCTATCAAGATCTTCGGATGATGAGATTTCGCAAGTGTATGTGCATCCTTTTTCTGCAATTATACCGGCAAATTGGACTTCATTGTTGTGAAAGCTGCAATGCTAAAAAAAGTATGATAATTATAAATGTTTAAGAATGTAGAATATATAATGTTTTTGAAAGACATACAAATGAATCTCACTTCACATTCAAAGCTCATAATGACTATATCTCGCCAATGTGGAATCCGTGTTAATAATAATCGCGTGATCCCCTAGAAACATGGTTAAATTAGAATCTTGAACAAGAAAAATCTAATGCAAATCAAATATACATTTTGCTCGCAGTTAACACAGTAGCTCTCAATCTCGGTTGGTTTGCCTTCATCGTCAGCGTCCACAACATCGCCAATTTCTGGAAAGAGAACCTTTTTATTATTAGGCTGATCGCTTTCAGAAGCCATTTGATTCTTATCAAATGTGGGAGTCCTATACTAATATGTACTAGTCACGACAAAAAAAGAATTCCCCCAACATAACCAACAAAAAAATTCGAAACGTGACTTAATGTGGCTTATGTATCACAAACACATGATATATGTTGATTTAGTAGACTAGTCATGGCAGAAAAATTTCCAGGTCCCGTGATCTCCGATTCAGTTCCGGATCTACCGAATTAATCGACCCACAAAATGATGATCAATTCTTACATTAATTTATCAATTCTTACATTATCGTTATCGTTATCGTTATCGTTATCGTTATCGTTATCGTTATCGTTATCGTTATCGTTATCGTTATCGTTATCGTTATTACTAACCTACAGGAACCAAAGCAATTTGTAACGTGTAATTCGAAGAAACGAAAATGAATTTTTTTCGCATTCAAGATTATGTACATTTTGGAATTAAACATTGTCTTGTATTACATACATATACGGTATAAAAAATTCATTTTTTTCTAACAAATAAAAGAATTCTACGTAATTTTTACAGTTCTCACATGTAAAGTAACAAGATCCTATCGTAGCCAAGATTTTTTGACTAGTTCTGCCATGTTTACTATGTGATCATGTGGATATTGAAATTCAGAGTTAACGGTAATAGAATATGGATCACGTTAGTGATATTCCAATTTGTCCAACAACAAAATAATGGTGGGAAGAATAGTGAAAAGAAACAATGGTTGAAAAATAACAATAATATAATCATTTTTATAATTGATTGAAAAATAATCATTTTGATTTTTTAGATAATTTTTCTTTAAGTATGAATGATTATTATGAAAGTTTATGTGATAATAAAATTATATACATTTGAAAATAAATCATTTATCATTATTAAAATTTCAAGAATACTTGTAAAAATGCATATTGTACAAACTCATTAAAAACTATATATTAGTTAAATCATTCACTTAAAATAATTTATGAGAAATACAAAAATATTCATTGATATTTAAAACAAACTTACCTATTTTCTCATTATAAATACTCATTCACACTTATCGATGGAACTAATAACCAAAGGAGAAATTGGATTAATACTTATAAGAAATGAGATCAGCAAAATATGCGAAAGAGTTTACCTGATTATATAGTTTCAAGTTATCCAATAGATTATTAGTGATCAATCATACATATTGAGATGTGTCTTCTAAAAGAAAAAATTTAAAAAAATAGCTGTTAAAAAATTCATTTTAAATGATATTCAGAAAAAATATCTATTCTGAACATTGGAAAAAGTAAAAAGTGTTCTTGTTGTGAAAAGAGTAAATTGGATTCTGAAAAGAGTAAATTGAATTCTGAATTTACATAGCAATGTAAAAATAAAATGATGATATTTTCTGTATGCAATTCCTGTATGAAAAAGAAAAAAGAAAAAAAGACACATTCACAATTACAAGTAAAGATAATAAAAATAAATTTATCAATACTAAAAATACTCAATTCTCAACTTCTAATAATGACACGTTCATGATTATAAGTAGAGATAGTGAAGATGGATTTCTTTATAATATATATGATATTGAAAAGCTTATAGCTGTCAAATTTAGAAATAATAATAAAAAAGATGATTACATTGAATTCTCAATAATAATAAAACAACTAGTGCATATGAAAATATTTGTGTCTGAAATTAATCAAAATAATGAATCTATAAAATTTTATAATATTATAAATATTTTGCTTATATTTCTTTAAGTGAAATCAGATTATTATTGAAACTTCAAAACTTATATATAAATAAAAAGAATAGTCATTATGTAAAACATGCAATAGTTTATTTAAGTTGTATTCAAAGAATTGATCATTAATATAAATATTCAAATAATTAACTTGCAAAGCAAATAAGTAAAGTATAACCTGCTATTGAGCATTATTCATATAATAATAATATAATAATTAAAATTAATTTACATGAGCAACAAGTCATAATATTTGTGTAATATCTGATAACTTATAAATATTTCACATACAGAGAAATCAAATTACTTACAAGTGCTATTATATGGATACAACAATATATTAATTATAGTTCACAAAGAATCAAGTTTTACAAATGACTTTACGATGAAAAACTAATTGATCAATTATTATATATAAATCAACAAGTGTATTATTGGATATTCAAACTTTTAGTAAATTATATATAACTGATATAATCAATCAAGTAAAATCTGCAAAGAATTTTTTAGAACAAAGAGAATTAATAAATGAAGAATACAAAATTATTCAATATTGCAAGAATGACTTTATCTATTCACTCAGATTCATTACTTTATTCATTCAAAATTTACAAAAAATAATATTAGTGAGATAATTATTAATTCAACATTCAAAACTAATCAAGAATAATTTGAACTCTTTGCAATAAATATTAACTGTGGTGAATATAATGTTCCACTTGCATATTTATATATAGATACTTATATAGTACCAAAAAAATATCTCTTGGATCCCAGTATTATATAAATATGCGAGTTAGTGTACTTAAAGAATTCTTTGTTAATTTGCAAAGTAAAGAGATTCAGTTAATATTTGTACTTCTGAATAAAGATTTTAAAGAAATTATAACTGTTCAGAAGACTTGGACTTGAATAGTAATCATTTAACTTTGTTTTTGACATGTGAAACATGCAATTGAATACAAGCTAAAAGAAATAAAAGTTTGAGAAAATCAATATTGTTCTCATTAATTCAAAAATTGTTAAAATTAATGAATTAACAAAGCAATATAACAGTGAAAGAACAAAGACTGAATGAATTACAATTAATGGAATTCACTAAAGATTCTAAAGGTCTCCTGTGATAGCTTGTATGCAAACTAACTAAATATTGTCAATAAAGAATAAAAATGAATAGAAAAATAAAGTGAAAAGATAAAAAGAATCAAAAGAATTAACAAATAGTTTTAA